AAAATACTTGCGTGGCAAAATGTCTAAAAGTCAGATGTGATGCTCTTTGATCAGCAGCTAAAGCGCAGCTGGGAATCTACAACCGAACGGGTGAAACAGAAGATAATCAACGAGGTCCAATTGTTGTAGAAAAGCAAATACTAATTTATTAATCCAAGCAGCTCTCTTCGGCTTCTGCATCGGGAAAAGCAAGGCAGCGAATGCAAATGTGGTCAATACCGTCTCCTCAGTGGCCCACGTCTTTACCAAAGAGGAGTTGATTAAGGCTAAATAATTAATTGCTTGTGGTCAAGTTTCTGCATACATGAGGATAAATGTGCTTCTATAAAAAGACAAAGAAGTAAAAATGCCTATGGAACAAAGATTTGTGTGAGACAAATTCAGGCAGGAGCTGCCAAGAGCAAGAATAGCTTTCTGTCATTAGCTAATGAGCAGTCCACTAGATTTGGGGGAAAGGAAGACAGATTGTGACTCCTTTCCAAACAGTTTCTTTGTGTTTGCCAGCAAGAATTAAACCTGTTGACAGCTGGGCGATGGTTCAGATGCCACTAATAACGACGCTCCATTAAGCAACTTGTACTTTCTCATTCTTGTTATTTTGGGATTTGGAATAAATGAGTTATTATATTGGGCGAAACAGAGACAGAACCGTCACTGATATATTGAGAAGACGGCCATATTTATCTGCAGTTATTAACTCGAGATTGTACTTGGGTAAATGTAGGAATGTGATTTTAGTTTTAGCTCACACAATGAGGAAAGACACAGCTCAAGAAAGAAATTCAGTCACAGATGTTCTGTGCTTGTGATCCATCGTGTTGCTGCAAGTTGAGTTTTGTATTTGGGAAAATACAATGGCTGAAAATCTTATCATGTTTGTTCGAAACTGTGTTTTAGGGTGATTCTAGATAGTTACTGAGATTAAAAAACACTTTTTTTGTTGTTTATTTCGCTTTTCCAACTTGAAAAAGCTTAAAAATTTTGACTTTTTAAACTCAAAACTTTTCAATTATTTTTTGGGCAGAAATATATCTATGTATTTATTTTGTATCTACAACGTTCCTAATATGCAGTTGTACGTATGGGTGTAAAAAAAAAAGATTTGTTGGTTAAAAAAAAAAACACTTTTTTTGTTTGCTGAATATTAATTGTGAAAGAAAATTACATTTAGCAAGAAATATAAATTTTGGTGAAAAAAAAAAAAAACTAGTCAAAGAAAATGTAAAACTTTGATTTTATGCATGTGTGTATGTATGAAATGTAAAACTTTCCGGATGTTTTGCAAGGTTTGCCAGGCTTCTCTGCTTTTGAGCCGACTGGTCAACATCATGTCCACCCCAAATTTAAGGACCCAATCAGACGACAGATAGATCTGGGAGTCACATCGAAGGCGAAGTCAGACCTCCAGCTCCACTCTCAAACCGTTTTCATTCTGAACTCAGTGTTTTCCTTCCTCAGCGGTTTCCTTCCTGCAGTGATGCTAGTTTTATGTTGGATATGTGACAGAGTCTCTGTGATTCACTAGAGGCAGGGATGTGGTTCTGCTGCCAGGTTCTGTCACAGAGACGATGCTCGGTGAGACACCGTGTACCCGCTGCAGAACGAACTGCTTCCACCAGGGACCGTCGACAAATTCCAGCCAGTGGCCCAAACACCGAGACGCAACGCTGAACCGTGGGACGCCTGATTCCAGAACATTTTCATTGATCTCCTACTTTTATCATTTTATTCTTTTGCGTGTGTAAAATTATGCCTTCTTTATCAATTGCTTCCAGGCAATGTGATCAGAAGGCAAGGCAACTTTACTTACATGGCCCCTTTCGGCCAGAGACAACTCAAAGTGCTTCTGCAAAGAGTTTTGAACTGGAAAAATACATCAAACAGATTCAAAAGCTTTAAAAATAAGAAGTCAATAAATCAACAAAAATGACAAAATCTTAAGAGAAGGCAACAGCAAACAGAAATGACTTTAACCTTGTCAGAAGACTTCAAATCATTAATGAAATGTGTTGCACCCTCTCTTCTATTACATATATATTTATATGCTAATGAGGACGTGCGATCGGGACGTAACCAACACGTTTCCCTGACATTGACTGGAGCGGTCAGCAGAAACCGCTGCAGTAAATTCCATTTCTCTGCAGTAAGTTAATATTAAGTCTCAGAGGAAACTCCAGGCCCATTTGCCAATTCGAATGCTCATTTTGAGTGGACATATTTCCATAGCTTCCACTTTGAAAGGCGTGGGTTATTTCCATAGAGTTGTTAAACCGACACACGTTGGTGGCCGTCTGGATGTTTCTCCTTTGCCGCTCAGCGACCTGGACGGCTTGATGTCGGTGACGGAACCATGGATTCCTCTTTCTGTTAGAAGACGTCTGGAGGAGGACGTCCTGCTATGACGCTATGAGCCTTTCAGCATCTCAGTGAGTTAAAACTCACACGAGTGTGGAAACTTTGACTGACTGATTGACTGATTGATTCCTCAGTGAGCCAAAATTCCTTGACAGTGATGTAAAAGACTCACTGCCAGTTATCACATACACTAATTACTGTTTTGGCACCAAGAGTATCACAGGCATTTATGAGATTTACTTTTATCAGCACTATAAATACATATTAATAATAATAATAATAATTATAATTATAATAATAATAATAATAATAATAATAGAAACTACTCAAATGTCATTTAAAATTGATGTAACATTTTATTTTTATCTTTTTTTCGCAAAAGCCCATAGTCTGTTGCCGCTTATTATTTTGGGAACTAATCCTTTATCTGCCACTCTGCTCTTATTAAATATGGTTGTGTTATTGATACTGTGAATGTCGTTCTCTTCATGAAACCTGATATGTTTAAATTGTATAATTTCTTTTCAAGAGAAAACTATAAGAACAATTTAAAAAAATCATTTTAGCTCACCGTTTATTAAAACTGTTACGAATTATTTCTATGGTGACTAAAAGGAAGCAGGATTGGTTGAAAACATCCATGGTTTTGGAGAAAAATGTACAATTATTAATAAAAGTATTACAAAAGTAGGAGATCAATGAAAATGTTCTGGAAGCAGGTGTGTTCTCGGTGTTTGGGTCTCTACTGAATGTGGTTTCTGCGTTTCGACCGACTGGAATTTGTCGACGGTCCCTGGTGGGACCAGTTCGTTCAGCAGTGGGTCCACGGTGTCCCACCAGGCATCGTCTCTGTGACAGAACCTGGCAGCAGAAGCACATCCCTGCCTCTAGTGAATCACAGAGAATCTGTCCCATATCCAACATAAAACTGACTTCACTGCAGGAGGAAAACCACTGAGGAAGGAAAAAACACAGACATAGTGAGCAAAGGTGAAGAATCATCCAATCAAAACGGTTTGAGAGCCGAATCCTTCTGTAATCTGATTGGAGTGCTAAATTTGTCATTAACATGAAACTGGATAATAAACCGATGAAGTAATTTAAGAAGTGTTTTCATAAAAATAATGTATTTTTAACAACTGAAAGCTCTCGTTTTCTCTAATTGAGTTTTACGTATTAGTTGGTTATTAGTTTTTTTTTTATTGTAATTTCAGTCAGAGTTGTGATTTTGATCGACAAGTTTTGCGGTTTTAGATTCCTATTGGTTGAAGCAGGGACTTTAGCGCTGATTACTGATGTGTTGTTTTTAGGACCCTTGCTGTCCAATCAATGAAGGAATCACTCTCTGTTGAGCTGACTTCTCTAAATATCACACTTTTCTATTCTCTAAACAAGATTGTCCTATTGCCAAAGACATCGGGATAATCAGGCTTCGATTTAATCAGTAATTTCCTTGGGTTTTGAAGTACTGATGAAAAGTACAGATTCCATGAAGCAACGTCAAAGTATGCCAACATGCTGCAACATGTCTGCTGCAGAGGAGGGCCGTTCTGGTCTTCAGGGACCACTGTGCCGTGTGTTTCACGTCTGCCGCCGCCCCAACATCACTTTATTCAAATGGTTTAATTATCTCCTCAGTCGGTCACCTGGCTGCTGCAGCCTGCTAATGATCCATTCATTTAAATGAGCTGCTTTCTGCTGAAGAAACATTTAAAATATGCAGAACTCTAAGGAGTGGAACTGACTGCCCCTCGTCTACAGGCTGACCAAAAAACAAACACACCAAATGATTCATTATTTATTTTTTTTTTTTACCAACAACGTAATGGTTTGGAAAATAATAGCTGTAGTTGCTGCTCACCGCAAAAGCACACAATATTACCAAGTATTATTGGTCTAATGCCGATTTCTTAGAACATTTGGAATAAATGAACTTACAAAAAATGTTTCTCAAGATGCAGCAGCTTGCTTTAAATGAAGACGCTCTGATCCAATATTACTATTTGTGTCGGTTTCAATGTTAAGAAATTTTCTAGATCGGGTGTTTTTAGTTTCGGTTTTTCCATTATTTGCTTCATATCAGCTGTTCTACTCCTGATTGCGCGAAACAAATGAAAGTTGTGATGTTTTTACGTGTTTAACGAAGCTTGAGAAACTCCTGCTGTATTTAACCGAGCTGTACTGGTGCAGAGTTATCAAATAAATTTGCGACTCAGTACAATTATGCCTGTGACAAAAAAAGAGAAACGTTAATTGTTGTACGCCATAAAGACATAAAGACTATGATCTTAAAGTCAAATGTGAGTTGACCTTAAATGTGTTGATCGTAAGTCTTAAGTTTTGTCTCATATGCGTTTTTTTTTTTTTTTTTGTGGGACTTTTTTCTGTCAGGTCAAATTTTGAGTCACACGCCGACGTCTTCATTGCGTCGTGAAGTTATCTTTGAACCGAAAGAGGATCTGCTAGCTGCTGTTTTCCTTAAAAATGAAATCACTTTATGAAAACATGACTCTGTGTTTACTCACTTTATTTTGGTAAAAAGATTTTGAACAAAAAACAAAAAAAGAAGCAAGAACAGAAGTAATTTGAGCCAAATTACTTCTGCGCTTTAACTCAAACCTTACCGATGGTTGCTCTCTCTGCAGGTGTCCAACCCTGGTGTCCAACTCAACCGCATGACTTCGCACAGGTACTTTTTCATCATACTTCATTACATTCGACTTCTTAGTCTCCAGGATGGTGGGACACTCAAACTTCAATGTTTTGCTCATTTTGCACGCAGCTCCCTGCTTCTTCATAATCTTAGCGCCACCTGATTGTATATTCAGAGCTCTAACTGTGAGAGATTCTGCTAATTAAAGTCTGGCCAAGGAGGACAAAGTTATTCATGAAGCATCATGACAACTTTGACTTCTTCTGGCAGTCGCTGTTGCAACAACATCAACTAATTCTTCTTCTCTTTTTTTTTTGTATTATTTTTTGGTGCGGTACAATGGCCCTAATTGACACAGGCTGTTGTATAATACCCTAATTAACCCAAATGGAGCTAAACCCTCTGTTAACCCTTTAAATTAAACAACGTTTTCACCAGCGGTGCTCTGAGAAGTAGCTCGATTAACGAGCTCAGCAGATGCGCAGTTCCACCAGATGTTTGCTAATTGCTGCTGGCTAGTCTGAAGGAGCTGACAACGGAGGAAGTGGAAGCTTGGAAGCTTGAACACTGCAGGTCCGAGGAGGAGCTTCATCCTCAAATATTTTACACAATACCACCACTTTAAACAAACAAACAAACAAAACAAAAATCTCTTAGACAACCTGGATATCTACTCATCAAGATCATCTTAAAATTATGTTCAGACAAATCTGAACAAATAAATTACCCATTAAAATAACTTATTACAACGAAACCGTAAAATATAACTGTTTTAATGAGAGTCTAGGTTCAAAACCCGTCATGTTACGGTGAAGAATGTGGCGCACAGAATCACAGCAATCAGACAAAAGAAAATCCTTCACAAAGAATGTCAAGTGAAGGCACAGAGAGAGAAACACAAAGTAAGCCGAGAACAGAGTCACAATAATGCAGCAGCAAATTGGCATAATTAACTGTAAGTTTTGTAATAAGGAACTCATTTGTACAAATTGACTTTCACCGCATAATGGCTTTAGTGAATTTCAGCAGTTACACATGAAGTGCTTTCCGTCCATTTCATTTACTGATTTTGCTATGCAACAGTTAAGTCCTGCTGACCTGCAGGTCGGCCTCTATTACAGTCTCAGCTATCTGAAGAATCGCCAAACTTTTTATTCACATTTAACACCAAAGTAAAGAAAAAAGAGTGAAAATATGAGACTCCACAGCGAAAAGCATGCTCCAGCAAGTTAGAGGAGCACGTTACTTCAATTAATTTGTTCTTATGTGCATTATATTTACTTTAGGATGCAACAGTTATCAGGCCAGAACTACAGAGGAGGAGTAATACAGGCGAAGTGAAGCATCACTTCCAGGTTTTAATTGGTAACCGCAGAGGACAGTTTCCATTCCTACTGAGGATCTTCCAGATGAGCAGAGCGGGATTTTAGGAAGGAGCGTGAAATTATGGCAATAAACGCATCTTGTAATCATGATTTGTAGTGAAAGCCACATTGTTTCATTAATGCGGCAGCAACAATAAAGCACACAGATCAAAACTGAGCCGACTGGAATAAAATAAATAAAACCTGCTGCAGCTGCTGGTGAGGTTTCACTGTGGTAGGCTGCCGGCTCTTTCTACCTCTCTGTGAGGGATAAACATAAGTCACTGAAGTGTGTTAGAGGGAGAACGAGTGGAGATCCAAACGGAGAGAGGAAGAAGGGGAAACAGAAAAATAGTCAAAGTATAGTAAGCAAACTTTATTCAGATAGAGCACCAATCACAGGTAAAAAGAACAACAACAGTGTCTTAAAGCAAAAACAAGATGAAAACACATTACTGTAATTTCCAGACTGTAAGGCTCTACTTTGTTGCACGTTTTGATCGCTGCGATGCGGATGATGTTCGGGGGTTTTTTACTGCTGCCTGACGAAAAGGGCAGAATGAGCGCAGGGGCAAATTTGCCTGGAGGCAAACCTCACGGTGGTGTGCTCAGATCTTTACCTAAATACCCGCTAATGTCAAGAAAACACAACTTCTTAATTACGCGGTTTCCACCAAAGGATTTAAGCTGAAATCACTTTAGAAAAAAAGTTACATGAGATATATTCATGATTTAGCCGTGACGCTAGCGCTCATCATCTTTCAGCCAATCAGAGGAGACGTCGGTGTCTTGCAGGTATTGACTGTGGTGGTTTCGGATGATTATAGTCGGCCATTTTACAGAAGAGCTACGGATTCAAGATGTTGCACAACTTTTTATGAGCTGTGAGATCTCTGATGGAGACAGCTGTCTGAAAAAACAAAAACAAAAAAACAAACCGTCATCCTGCTCCTTATTATATTATATAATATATTTTTATATTATTATAATTTGGCTTTGAAACACTCAGTCAAATGCAATCAATTTATTTTTGACGTTTATTTACTTCAGTCGTTCCTTAAACTCTTTCTGCTTATGAAAGCATTTTAATCAGGTTTTGTTTGGAATTCCTAGCAAGACGTTCCGGTGGACCCAAAGGCACGATTCTTTAATGGATCTTTTATGTTTTATTGCTTTAATAAAGGGAAAGATTCTCAGGTTCGGACCCTGTGGACATGAAGACTTTAGGATGACAGCATTGTGGGGGAGGCGTGGCAGCAATGCAGTCAGCAAAATAAGAATCAGCTTCAGAAAAATAGGGTGAAGTGATGGAGGGAGAGAAACTGAAAGTTGGCAGTTGCAGGAACGTATGCATCAGTGACCGAGGGCCGGATTGCAGCGTTATTGATCCTCCTATTGCAATATCAATCTACCACAATGGTAATTTACTAATGACAGTTAGTAAAACCTTACCAAGAGATTGCTCTGAGACGATGTCCACTTTCTGTAGATCGACTCGCAGGCCTGAGGATGTTTCCTTTGGTTTTTGATAATGTCATGATAAACTGGAAAGGCCTTTTTTACATGCGTCTCTTTTTTTTTGCGAAATATGTGACAAGAAGTCAAATGTCAGCTATTTAACATAAACCAAATGTTGTCAGTATGGTACAAATTCTTTACAGTGAATTCTATAAATGAACGTAGCTTTGTTTTTGTTACGGAGACTGAGTACAACATTATATATATATATATATATATATATATATATATATATATATATATATATATATATATATATATATATATATATATATAATATATATATATATATATATTATATATATATATATATCTTGATGGGATTTTAGGTTTATGTTTACAATAAATTAAAAGTTATTGCACAGGTTTTTAACAAAATCTTTACAAAAACAAAAAAAGAAATTAAAACTACATATTCAGTTTTTACACAATACCAAGACATTTATTCTTGTTTTTTCTGTTAGTTCAATGGAGTGACTGTGTATTATTCCACACAGCTATTTACTTCTGTCATGTTTAAAACAAGCATGTTTTAAATATTAATTATTCATCTTGGCTGAAAACATGTCTTCAAAGGGTCGCGTAAGTTTACCAGTTCTATATTCGTTATGTTTCTTGAGGGCATAAATAGCTCTTTGGATTTACCCGTAGTGTAGTCTTAGGAGTATGTGTGTGGTTCCGGGAACTGACGGTCTAACGGGACAACAGTCCTCCTGAGTGTCCTGCTAAGACTGCAGGTGAATTAAAAAGGTTGTTTCCCCTGGTCTGTCCCATAAAACAGTAATAAAGCCATATTAAAACTGCAGCAGTTTAAGTTTAAGTTCTCACCTCTCCTGTTTCTATAGTGAATCATCAGAGATAGCAACGACATCCGTATTAACAAACACACACGCGTGGATACATCAGTTGAAACGTTATGCCTGACAAGTCTTGTTTCATGCATTCAAACTAAAAAGCAGTATTTGGGAACCTTGTCACTTGTCAAAGACACACAGTTATGGTATATAGCGATGCTCACACTGGACTAGTTGCCTGGTAACAAATCATTCTCTTACAACAACAAAAAAAAAAAAACTCTTTTATGAATATGGGCATGGCACGAAGGGAAGGAGAACACACATCGAAAGATAAGGTGGTAAAAGGCTGATTAACATCAGACAGCATTCATAGTGCAGAAGGTCAAAAACTGGATGAAATATTGAAATATTTTTGTGTGAGGATTCAAAAGTCTATTTTAGAAACACGTTGAGAACAAGAAAGAAGTCTGTCGTCGCTACCCTCTGATCTATTAATATGAGCGCTCTGTACAGCGAGGACTGCATCATTTTCTGATAGTTCACTGCACATTGAGATGCATGAAGTAACTGAAAGTAGAAGAAAAAGACACATAGCGTCAAGAAATATATTTTAAAAAAATCATATTTAACTTTCTATTTTGCTAATACTTACAATTTTACTGAATAAACATGAGAAACTAAACTGTTGTTTGGTACATATGGATGGATGGATGGATGGATGGATGGATGGATGGATGGATGGATGGATGGATGGATGGATGGATGGATGGATGGATGGATGGATGGATGGATGGATGGATGGATGGATGGATGGATGGATGGATGGATGGATGGATGGATGATGGATGGATGGATGGATGGATGGATGGATGGATGGATGGATGGATGGATGGATGGATGGATGGATGGATGGATGGATGGATGGATGGATGGATGGATGGATGGATGGATGATGGATGGATGGATGGATGGATGGATGGATGGATGGATGGAGGATGGATGGATGGATGGATGGATGGATGGATGGATGGATGGATGGATGGATGGATGGATGGATGGATGGATGGATGGATGGATGGATGGATGGATGGATGGATGGATGGATGGATGGATGGATGGATGGATGGATGGATGGATGGATGGGATGGATGGATGGATGGATGGATGGTGGATGGATGGATGGATGGATGGATGGATGGATGGATGGATGGATGGATGGATGGATGGATGGATGGATGGATGGATGGATGGATGGATGGAGGATGGATGGATGGATGGATGGATGGATGGATGGATGGATGGATGGATGGATGGATGGATGGATGGATGGATGGATGGATGGATGGATGGATGGATG